GTTTTACCCCAAAATGAAGCAAAAAGGAAAAAAAAAAAAAAAAAAAAAAAAAAAAAAACGGCAAAAAGCCCTGGCCTACTTTTTGTTTCGCTGTGCTGGGCTCAGGCTCGAAGGATGTGGTTTGGTGGTCAGCGCATAAGACAGCAAATGAAAAAAAAAAATTCCTTTGATTTAATCCAGATCGGGTTTGTGCATGCTCTTCCTGCGGCCATCGGGAAATCACACAAGGGAAAACCCGGCCCACGCTGCCGGTGGCTGGGCGCTGAGGGACGTGGCGCAGGTCCCGTGGTGGCCCCGTCCTGCTCGGCGGGGTGCTAAATCCTGCTGAGCGAGGTCTCCCGCCCCGGCGCCTGGAGGACCTTAGCCCCCACCGGGGCTCCAGGACATCCATCTCCTCGCCATGCGGCGGGCTCCATCTCAAGCTTTCTTGATAGATTTATAACAATTCAAGTCACTCTCACCACCACTCTGTGCACAAAGGGCCAGGCAAGTTCTGTATAAGTGAATATTTATATATTCCCATAAACATTTTTAATGGGAAATTGCCTAATATGTCTTATTAAACGGAAAGCACGAGCAGTTGTCCGAGGGCGCCTGGCAGTGCTGCTGACGGTGAATGTGTCGGTGCTGCTGCACCTCGCAGCTGTAATCGTTTCAGGAATCCTTTGACTCATCTTCCGAGCGGCTCCAGGATGTGCAGGGAGATCTCGATCTTGCCGGTCTCTTTAAAAAACACCTTTGCCTCACTCCTGGGTTCAGAAAGCTCGTGTTGCAAATACCTCCTGACCTCAAGTGCCCAGGTGTTTGCCAGAGCCTGGCTGCAGCTGGAAAACCCTTCTGCTGTTAAAGCCTCACCAGCATGCAGCAGCCGGGGCTCGTGCTCGTCACATGCGTGGCAGCGCCTGGCTTTGCCAGAGCAGGTGCCCGGCTGACCGCCGGCATGGCGTTCGCACCAGCGTGCCCCGCGAGCCCCAGCGTGCAACCACTTGCTGCGGGCACCAGGGACGAGCATCTGCCACCAGCCCTGGGAACAAGCCTCCGCCACCAGCCATCCCTCGCCCCTGGCAAGCTCCTACCAGGTCCTGGGCAGCCCCATGCCTGCCCGGCTGTGCCATCCCCTCGGCCGGCAGCTTATGTTTGCTTTTCCAGGGCTACAGAGAGAGACAGTGAAAACTTGACATGTTCTGAAGCGCAGGAAAGCCATCCCCAGGCTCATGTGCCCCACCAAGGTGGGTACGGCACGCACGCCCCAGGGTACAGCCTGGGGGTCCTCAG